TCGCGGAATCTGCGATATTTACGGAAACCGCAGGTTCTGGTGAGCGGTAGTGTATTTTAGTCGAGGTTCGCGGGTCAATCCCCAAGGTAAGAACAAGTAAGGGGTAGTGAGGCGAGGAAGGTCGAAGGGGATTTCGTGAAATTTTGCGAAAAGAAGACTTTGCTTTGAAAACTCCAACTTGGAGCCCTATCTTAATTATTTAGCTCTCAGATAGACATAGACTCCGTAGCATTTAGTGATAATAGCGCAATTTGTACAACTTTTACAGAAGATCCTGTTCGAATAGCGACATAGACTGTTAAGAGGTCATACATTCTGGCAACAGCTTATTAGATGTGTCATAGTTGATATTCCATATTTTCGCTAAATCAAGACAGATTTGGTTTTTATTAATAAAAACCTTTGATAAGAATGGTAAAAACTAGATATAAACGTAAGAAATTCAATGTTTTTGGTATGATTTTCATACTATCCGTTTTCGTGGCTTAGAATTTTACCGGTAGTGCAACTTTCTTGGTGCCCTCATCAATAGTTCCCAAGGAAGTTTTTAAATTGGCAAAATTTGAAATCAAGGATGAGGTCTTTATTACGGATTGTAGATTATAAAGAGACTGAGCGGAAAAGTGTAAATTACGCAAACATAACGCTTTACTGCCGCGTGTACAAGCTTTCACCCTTCCCTCACGCTCTCTGGGATTCTGCATTCATCATAGTAATATTTGAGTGTAAGGAACCAGTAAAGCGCGTATAATAACTAAGAACTCGGGTCTACGAAAAAGTAATTTGGGTTACGGGAAAGACAGGCCCAGAATCGGGCGAAGCGTTTGTTGATCGTTCGTTAAAACGTTCGCCAATGAACCGATTGAGCTGAAACTTGCACACTTATGTATTCGACCCGGTGGTTTAGCGCTACTTTTTGCGGCGATTCGCTAAGCCATTCTACTGATTTATTGATTTTTGGCATAAGAATGAGTTCTCAACATCGGCTAACAAGTCATTTCCATGATTTCTTGTAAACAATAGCAGTTAAACAATAGAGTTCATTCGATTTTCGCGGTAGGGAGGATGCGGTGATTCAAGACGAGATTACGGCGGATGAGTTACTTTGATACAAAAACTCTTTGCAGCGCGGCATAATGGCGTGGGAAGGAGAGGCGGGAAGGGGGGGGGGAGGGGCTGGAGCAAGGATCAGCTGAAGCCGTGACCCGGGCTAGAGCAGAAAAATCAGCTAATCATTTATAAAAGTTGTATTGCTGTAGTTGTGTTGCAGACAGAGGTTCAGCTACAAAAATGGGCCCGCCCAATAGCTATTAGAGTGAAGATACCAGCCGCATCTCAATTATGTTAAAAATATTCCAAAAAATTGCTTCTCTTTTACTAGTCTTCAGTAGAATTATGGTTTGTATCCAAAATTAGTTCGTCAGCTACCAAAATCGCGTGCTCTCTATTTTTTTCTTTTTTCATAAGAATGCGATTGCTATGAGGATGTTTTGTACACGTTTCTGCCAACGAGTGTCTGGGAAAAACCTTGCTCAACTTAGTCAATGTGGATCGCTGCTATAGTGAGGCACTATGTTTTGGAAGGTTTCGAAGAGATGGGATGCATACTTTGAGAGATAACATATAACATATGCGCCTGACATACGCTGGAATTAGAAAGGATTTCTCTCAAGATCATAGAAAATATGAGAAATTACAAAAATGTGACCTTTTCTACAGTTAAGAATTAGAAGAACTGTATACGGGCAGTTGCGCAAGCGATTATGAGGTGGAAGTATAAGCAAACAAACAAACAAACAGGCAAAGTTACATTTAAAAAACTTCAAAGACAATGCTCAACATTTTTTCTGAGCTTCTGAATTTCATAAGAATTTGGTTGCGATAAGTCCAAAATATGCTTCCTGGCCATGATGTCAAATGCTGAATTGAACTTTTTTCAAGTCATGGAAATGGGCATGGCGTGCGTGGCTAATCAGCCAATAACATTGGAACAGAACTTTCCACCCATTCGAAATGCGATTTATTTACTTATTTATCACGCACAAGGTGTGCCATAACTAGAACAAACTACTACGAACGTAAGCAGCAACAGATACAAATACAACAAACAAAACAAAAGAAACATCCAACAAGTCAGCTCAAATCCAGTCAACGAATAATTTTGAAGAAAATGAGGTTTGAGCTTGTATAAACTAAGTATGTAATCATCACTTGAAATAATGGCGTAAAGACTCAATGGAGTCTGTCCCATGCCTCCTGCTTGCCAAAAAAGGGGATTATGCATTAATAGATCAATAGATAGAGAAGATTCCGAAAACGAGATAATTGCTGACTTGGGCAAGAAAAACCTAGCAAAAAAAATCAGAAAAACCACTTTTCAGCCTGTGCTTTTCTCACTCGACAATAAAGCTTATAACAATTTGCGCCCAGTAATTGAATACAGCGCTAAATAAACGTGATGATTCTGAAGCGTAAAAATTGATATCAATAGAATGAGGAATTTTTTCATGTTGAGTCTCCGATGAAAAAATTATATGAACAAAAACAATTTCTAATCAGAGCCGACAGGATAATTACGGCTGGGAACAGAAACCGTGCGCGTGGGATCGATTGCGGCTTAATGAACGTCATGCATTCTCAGGCTTGGAGACGGACCACTATAATCGCTTGGCTACGTTGATAATGAGGAGAAATCAGCTCAGGCATTGACGCGTTCCCAAAGCACAAGCAATGAACCTCCGATACAGCGTCACAATCTTCGCTATGATGAAATCTGCTCAGCCTAGACTTCCGCAACCTCGAAATCGAGCAAGGAACGTCAGATTGGAGTTAAGGATGCATATCTATATTCTGTGAATGAATTTAAAATTACATATTATAGAGGAGGAAAATCATGCCATTTCTAGCAGGGCTTGACATAAGAATCTTGGCAATGCAAAATGATAAAAACAAATATTTAAACTCCATTTTTCGAAATCTGCTAGAAATACAATGTTTAGTAGAACCAAACTAATATGGCTTTGATGTTAATTTATGTTTCCAAAAAAAAAAGTTTGCGCTTGTTGGATTTGATTTGACTTTTTTACGGTGCTCAAATTAGGATATCTGATAGAATAGACACAATAAAATACAGCGTACATTTTTCGCTAAGAAAATATTGATAATTCAAACTTCTTATGTATTTTTCGACGATCACTTTAAGAATGATGCGAACTTATATTTTTACCTAATATCATGTAGTTTGGCTATTTTGATCTTTTGAAATTCCTTGCTCTCTTCCATTAGATCCAGCCATGTATGGGATTGGTGTGAAAAATTTTTTGAGGGGATAGCGCAAGCAGCCAACAAAGCAGTGGTGGCCGCAGGATTCCCGTCCGCGGGGGGAGGGGGGGGGGGGGGGGAAGGCGGCAAAAATTTGTTTCAGATAGTGCACTCCGAAAGATTTTTAGGGATGCTTCTCAGAGTTTTTGCGGGTCCCCAGCCCCTAAAAAGGGAGCGTGGCGTCAGCCACTTCCCCGAAAAAAAGTTTTATAAGGCTAATTTGAATTTTTAAAAAATTTTAAGAATTATTTTAATTGTTTACAAGAATAGACAAGCCGCTTGCGCATTTTTATAACCCATGCAAATAAATTTCAAAAATATTGCGACAAATTCTCGGCCCCCTCCCGCCCCCCTCGGTCCGCCACTGCAACAAAGAATACAGCCCCACGGAAGAAAGAATGACCCAATCGTAGCACAAAAAGTTGGGATTACAATTATTCTGCCATTATTGTGAAGTATTCTTCATAACTTAAAAAATTTCTCCGGATTTATCCCTCTTCCGAGATAAAAACGACGCAAGCTTTATTCAGTTTGAGGGTAGGAATGAAACAAAGAAAGTACTCATATTTTTTATTTTTTATCTTCAAAGACAACTCTGTAGAATTCAAGTTTATTTTATGCTTTGTTAGAGGAGAATTTTCTTACCAAAGGTCTGTGCTTGCACTTGAATCAAGCGAAATAGGACATAAAAATCACTAATCATTTCACTTTTTCAATGTTTTCAACGCTAACGTCCTGCTATTTAGTACTGGCATCACACATCACTTCAAATGTTTACTTCAATTAATTTTAGCAGTGTCGGAGGAGAATTCTTTTATTGAAGGACGATTGCTATACTCTTGCACTTTTGCAACCTATTCCCAACGCAATTATTCTACTTTGTGATACTGGCACCACACATCACTACAAATGCTTATTTTAATCACTTTTCGCAGTGTCCGAAGAGATTCTTATCAAAGGACTGATTGCCACACTCTTGCACTTTTGTAGTCTAAGTTGTAGTTTGTAGTCTGTATCCCCACGCTATTATTTTACTGGCATCACAGATCACATAGACTTTATCCTTTTTCAAGCGTCATACTAGAATTCCTTCACTAAAGGTCTGATTACCGCGCTTTTGGACTGTTTACTTATACTCTAAAATGAAATTAAGTGAGCACCCTAACCTCAATCAGGGCGAATTACCAATCATTATTCCACTTCTACGAACCATTTACCAAGCTTATATCCTGCAATTTAGAAGTGGCAACAAACATCACTTCAAAGGTTACTTCACTCATTTTCTACAATGTAATAAAGAAATTCCCTTACTTGATTGTCAAACTCTTGCACTTTTGCAATCTGTTTTCCACGTAATATCGTGCTTTTATGTAGTACTGGCATCACACATCACTTCGAATGCTAACGAGCTATCACGTGCCTAGGAGACATTACGAAACAATAGGCGGAACTAAAAAGTTCTATTTCATTTTTGAAGTTTTAATTGCTGACGGGCTGAACTGACAATTTATGGTGATTACAATCACTTATTGCCATCATTTGAGCAGGAAGTTGAATAAGCTAGAAAAAGTCGAGGGATTACTGCAGTCTGCCAAAACTTTATGCCTGAGCAGTCCTTTATTACCGTAGAATTCTCAAATGGCACAATCTGGAGACCGTACTATTACCGTATTCGTGAATTACCCTCGTGGTGGTGGCGGTGGTGGTGATGATGGTGGTGGAGCTGTGAAAAATCGAATATCGATTTCTGGGAGACTGCTGCAAGGCACTCGTTCTGATTGGCTGAAAGAAATTTATTAAAATTTTCTGAGTACAGGTCGAGCAAATGTTCATCTAAGTATCCACATTTCTTATGTGGATGATGATTAGGAGACCTCAACTGAGCCAACTGTTTAGGCAGCAGCCCATGTTATCCATTCTTGGCCGAGAAATCCAACTTTAAACTCTTGCCCAATACCGTAATCAAAGGCATTACTCGCTCAGCTTACGGTAGTGGGCGAGAGTTTACAGTTGGTTTTCTCGGCTTTGACTGAATGATTTGAGCTGCCGCTTGGATAGTGATTTACCTGAAATTTTTCAGTCTTATTCATATAAGAAGTTAACAAAGTTTGCCCTCAACATTTGTCTCAAGAAAATATGTACGGGCTACAGAAAATACATAAAGCGACTTACAGGCTGAAAACACTTTTCGGCACGAGATCCATGCCTGCAGTGTTCATACAAATCACCTTGGACAGGTGTGTACGTCTGACAGCATCAAGCTCTTCTGTAAAACGAGCAATTTCAAAACTAAACAATCGATAAGTATCTTTTCCACATACCTGCTTTCAGTCCTCTTGTTCCTTGCACTTCATGCTCGTAAAAGAAGCGATCACCACGTTTCAAAGCAGCAAATTGTTCGGCGATAATGTAACCTCCAGTGGGTCCCATCTAGAAGGGGAAAGTAGATCTAAAATGTTAAGAATAATTTTATAACCTACCGCTGCACCTGGTATAGGCCTCTCCAGCATGATTCCCGAATAGAGATCAATATCGTCAACATGAGCATAGACCTTTTTCAAGGCTTCTACGTTAGTCAGGTCCATCTCGACCTTGAGATCATCGAAATTGCTGGCTTTTTTCAAACCCGCAAGTGTCCTGAAAAATTTTTTGCGAGATAATCTAGCGGGTTTCAAAAGTTTCTGGAAATTACCTGTACTCATTGTAGGGGAATAGACCAATATCCCTGCCTCGCATGATATTTACAGCCACGAGATCAACACCAGAAGCTGGCTGACCACGAATTTCGAAAAGTTGGTTGCGAATGGGAAACGAAAATTCGTTGTCAGATTTCATGACGGGATGCTGCATCATGCCTAGAACAACATTCCTGCGCTGGCATAAAAATTGAAATTTTGAAATGTTTACCTTCCAAAAACGATGCCAGTCCACCCTGATTCGGAGCATAGTGTGAATCTACGTAGAAAATGTTGTTCCCAATATCGACGGCAGTTCCAGCGGTTGTATTCTTGTTAGTGACTCTGAAGTTGTACACTATTGAAACAATGCAGTGTTTTAAAAATTCGATGTTATGAGTTTTTGTGTCTCAGCGCATAAGGATGTCCAATTTTGAGTACCAATAAGTTGAAGGTGTTCGGTAAACTTAAGCAAGTCATCCATACAGTGACAGGTGCTATAATTCTGTCATGGTTGTAAAAAATACTCTTGCCCAGTATCGTACTTTTCGTACTTTTTCTAGGTACAGTTTGATTCCTTATTTCTGGATAGAATTTACGAGCTGCTGACTGGACAATAGCTTACATAGACCTTCCAGTCAGTAAACATTTGAGTGGTCCAGAGACCCAAATTGCTTGCCGAATGTTCTGTGCTTGAAAAAACGTGTGGGAACTAACCTCGGGAAATCCTTCCTTGCCTGTCCATGGCCAAATCTGAACGCTGCGCCAGCGAACTCGACTGTTAGTGCGGCGTTTACTGATGGAGAATAATCTGAATTAGAAGATTCTTCTCTATATTGCTGCTGAGAAAACAAACACTCATTATGAGGAAGATATGGGCAAAACTCACCCTTGGAAAATCCTGACCTCAAAGGATGAAGTTTGAAATCATTCATTAGCTTCTCTCCAACCACTCCAGGTAAATACTCAGCGTAAACTTGATATTGATATTGAGCAATGTTTACGCGGCGTGCCTCCTAAAATTTTACTTTCAATGAGACAACGTCAATGGATCAGCTTAAAAAGGAGTCGAGAACATCTTTAGCGTAGTGATTTCTACAGTATCACAATTAAGCGGATTCGGTGAGGGTTCCTAGTAAAAATCACTTATTGTATATCTTTCCTACCGCAGAGTAATCTTATAAGCAAAGTCCAGGAGAATCTGGGTACCTAGAATTTAAGTTTGGGTAATGATAAAAGACATTTGCCAAGTCATTGCTCAGGGAGCTCAAACAACTTTTGTTGTGCTAGAGGCTCTCAAATTCAATCAGATGCTCTTATTAGTCCGTTCAAATGGGTACGATCAAGAGTTGGATCTTTTAGACTGTATTTTTTATAGCAACAAACCATATACAAGTTACTATCGTTAGGTTGTTACTTTTATGAAAAACTCGATCTACTGAGAAAAATTTTATTCATACCTCAAAGATTTGCTGGTCAGTCCAGCCTGGATTTGCTCTCTTGAATTGTCCAGCAATCCTGTTGTGTTCCTTGATGTATGTAGCATGTAGAGGTACTAGCCCAGGATGCAGAGAGTTACGGAAGTCACCAGTGGTATAGCAAAAGTAAGGACTTTTCGATTGACAGTTGGTATCCTCAAGATTCAAGACCGTCCAGGAATGGGGCTATTGGCTTACTCGAATCTTACATTTTTGTTTTGTGGTGGGAGGATATCACCGTTGTGGACGTAGGTCTTCAATTCACCATTGATGTAGGATCTTACGGAAGCACCTTCACATTCTTCTGAGCCATAAACGGAAGAAAGATCAAGAAAATGGGTATTCTGGAAAGTTATAGAGTTAAATTGTTCCCAGGGTTGTAAGCCTGAGCGTTTCTTTACCTGATTAATCTGAGTTCGAACGCCAAGACCTTTTTGAGCATTGAGCGCACGAGTCAGGCGAATACATCTGGAACTTCTAAAATGACCTTCCTTCCCTTTTCCACCTTTTCCCTTTGATGAGTCATGTTTTCCCTTCCTTTCTCGGCTTTTTTCTCTGGATATTTATAATTCCTGCTTGAAATCTCACATAAGCTGAACCGTTTACCTATCCGTTCCATTATTGTAGGCTCTGAAGTAGGCATCATCCCCAGGGACGGGGATTGGTGCACAATTGTCGCTAACCTTTGGTGAATCGCAAGATGAGCAATCGAGGGTTTTACCATTTGGTCCTGAAAAATATTATTAGAGGTCTTGCCAAAAAATTTTTGTGCTACACTAGAAATTAGAAAAATTTTCAAATTTCCTTGCAAATTATTTGGAATTTCTGGGCATACCGACAGAAGAAGGCATAAAAATTATGTCGTGAGCGATCCATTGTCCAAACTGCATGCTAAAATGGTTCTTAGAGAAGTCGAATGCAGGTTTTGCTCCCTAAAATTTATATTTTTTCTATAAAACGTTGTGGCGTTTCTAGAAAGCTGAAGATTGTATAATAATATCTACCTCTTGGTGTAATTTGTTGGATATTTCACGAGTTGAAGGTAATGGAGTACCCAAAACACCTTTTGTACGAATTGCGTTAAATCCTGGAAACATTTCAAACATGTATAACTTGACCCCACTCCCTCCCCTTCAAATAGGGCAGAAATAAAAAAATTTCTGAACCTTACCATCTGCGTAGCTGACTTTTAACAACAGCCGTCGCAGCGGGGTCACTGCCGCGCCCCAAGTGGAATTCACTGGATTGTTGCATATTCCAGTGATGGATCGAATGTTATTGCTAAATACGGTTTAGGTGAACTGCATACTTTTTTCCAGAATGAAATCAATAACAGGCAAGATTTTGACCCAAAGATCATAACTGTTCAATGAACAAATTTTCTAACAAAATTTATTTACTATAATCCCCCCTAATGTACCAGCATAAGAATATTCTTAGCACCTGTCCCGGCTTTTACAATCCGTGATTTTCGTGCCGCAATTTACTCCACCGATTGCGGCTCCACCGCCTCCTGCGCCAGCGTTATATGAAGTTTGACGCTTTTTACGTGCTCCGCTGGTAGCTCTAATGAGAAGTTCGTCAACATCTAGTAAAGCCAGCTCGTCTAACACGCCGACACCAAATTTCTCCACGACAATCTGAAAGGACCAGAAAGGTTGCGTTGTAGTGGGAATACTGTAGGATTACGATACGAAACTACCGTATACGCAACGTATACGTACAGCATACACAACCAAAAGAAACGCGTAAGTTTTATCAAAATTTCAAGAATCTTGCTTTCGCTTGAAGAATTGGTTACTATACGCCAAGATTGAAAAAATTCATACTTTTCCGATACAGTCTACAATGCCTGTTTGCAAAGTTCGTATACGGTGTGTATCAGGAGCCAACTTAGCATTTTTCAACTTGAAAACTACCCTCGCAAAAAAAGAAAATAAAATGAAAAGTCAAACCTTGGTTGTCTCAGAAAGTAGATCTCCTTTGATTTGCTCAAATTGAGATTCAGCGTTTGCTTTTTGAGTTTGTACGAGTCCTTAAAACCTCAGCTTTTGCATACATAACAAAACTTTCACGTTTTTTCAAAGTCTAATAAAGATAGGGAAAAGACGACGATCTCAGAAATCTACACATCAACACCTAATAACAGCTATGCGGTATTTTTGCCCAACTAGCGAATAACCTAGAAACCGTGGAGTTGTGGTTCTCAACTTCTTTCATGTTCTAGCTTTTTTTTTTGAAATAATAAAAACTTAATTTACCATCAGCCGTAACTACATTTTTGTCACGATTTTCGAGATTTTTCTGTGCAGTCTTGATCGCCTCCACAACGAAGTCTTCAAGAAAATCCGCTTGACTAAAATATCAAATTAGAATATAGCAATTTTTATGAAAAATTCCCATACCAGCTCGCTGCCAAAACGAACAAGATAAGGACTCGCATCCTGAAACGAATTCCCTACTTTCTCATCTGCTTAAATGTAGCTTTCGACATGTTTACGCACCTGCAAGTGTCGCCCACAGCATGAAATCTTCGGTCGAGTTTGTATCAGCGGATATTTGACAAAAAAATTTCCGCATACCATCTGCTTGTGCATGGTACAAAGACCGTTTGATTTGTAATCTTTATTCTTTATTCGGAATTATCTGAAGTGCTCATGTACTCTTAGTTTTCAGAAGGTTGTGAAGCATGGAAAAATCATCCTCATTCTTTTATTTCTCCGAACTAGTGTTTCAGCTGAACACCAAATAAGGCAAGGAGACCGTAATCGACATTGCAAGATAAGCTTCTTGAAAACAGATAGCAGTGGCTCCTTGACATGAGATGGATGTCGAGAAATTAAGCTTGAGAGCTGATTTCAGCTTAAAACGCTGATTCCAAAACAGCATTCGTTAGCTGCAGAATGAATGTGGATCAGGAATTACTGTCTTTATTCTGCGGGCAATTTACAACGCTCCAAGTAGCCAAACTATTGGAGCCCATGTAAGGAGGAAGAACTAGGGAGAACTTGGTTGGAACAAGTTATCGATGCTTAATGTATTAGGTTGATGCAAAAATATTGGCCGTTGCATACGCTACCAAAGCATATGGATACAGAAATATATGAATGAGGTACCATTTGATAGAATGAAGCAACGTCTACAAAGTGGCTACCAAGAATCTACCTATACATTGGGTCTACTTAAGGTTTGATGCCAAAATCTGTGAGCATTTGTTCAGTCAAAAATCGGATCTTCGCTCGGAGAATTCCTACAAGTCTCCCAGTTGGTCATCACATAGTAGACACATGGTAACGTTCATTTATGCATCTGTCGTCGCTTAGTAGGGGGTCTACTATTACATTAATACCAGAGCCGGTACCCCCCCCCCCCAATCTGGTGTGATGCTGCCTTTAAGGGTGAGCTAAAAATACTAAAATGTGCTCAATTTCGCAATTTTTATGTACTCTTCGCATCAAAGCCGCTCATTACTTCGTCCACACTCAGAAATTCGCAGTTGTCACCCGCAGGTTAAAATGATGTGGTCTCATTGACCAACTGAGCGTCACACGAAATCGGTGTCGGTGCAAAATCGGGACACCTGTGTTTGCATCGGGGCAAAAGTGCGGGGCATTTTCCGTTCATTATCGAGGTGACCTGCGGGAGACATTATAATGCCCCGATCCTTAGTTCAAGCTGTGGTTCCTCTTAAGTATAATATAATATACAGGGTGTCCGTAAAGTATGTATACACTGTTTGATCGTTAATATCTTCCTTCCCAACAAGTCTTTTGCCTTGCTTCAGGAACCGTTTTGTAGAGCTGGCTTCAACTTAGATTTGTGTTATAAAAAGAGTAACCCATCTCTCTTCGTTACTTTAGGATTACGACAGAAACTTCAAAGAGGCTTTTGAGCAATGAAAGGCCATATTTTGCCTCAGAAAAGAAACAAAATAGCCTGAAAACTTTTACACTAGACCAATTAGAGTTGCTGATTCTAACTGTAAAGTTCCCAACTTATTATGATGCTTCATTGAAGAGTTATGTCAGGTAAGATGTAGCGGCCATTTTTTCAATGTTCCTAAAAAGTGCAGTCACACCGTATAGAAAGCTTTGCAATCTTATGAATAGTTGAGTATTATACTCAGCGTCCATAGAAACCCTACTACACAAGTCTTCACATTTTTTTGAAAAATTTTGAAATGGCAGCTTTTTCCACATTGACACCATATGTTTCAAGTTTCTACCGTAATCCTACAATAATGAAGAGCGATCGGTGATTCGCTCCATACTGTAAATCTAAGTTAAGGCCAGCTCTACAAAAAGGTACCTTGAGCAAGGCAAAAGACTTGTTGGGAATAAAGATATTAATGATCAAACAGTGTACTCATACTTTACGGACACCCTGTATAATATGTGTATATATATATAGCGTAAGTATACATATAGTGGAACACACAAGTATATAGTGTATACTCTATACTTGTGTGTTTCACTTTTACCGTGCTTCTTCTTTCACTGTCACTTACAAATCATGCTATAGTATTTATTCGAAACTTCATGGTAGGGAAAATCTACATCAGCGCGAAATTAAATAAACTACATAGAGGAGACACTTTACAAAAAACAACTGCACTAACATGTGTCGTTCGCATCTGTTTCCTCGACTGTAATGTCAGCGGATTCCGTTTTTTCGATAACGTTCAAGTCAGTGGTCACGGTAATGTCATGATGTGCTTCTTCTGAAAAACATCAGCATCAACGGCGTACACTTCTAAGGACGAAAGTTTTACCTTTAACGCCAGGAGAGTTGCTCGGTCAGCATCAAGATGGCAAGCACGCACATCCGTGTTGAATAGATTCCGAGACAACACTTAAAGGCAGCGGCTCGGCAAATCGCAACCTAGTCAGATTTTTGCTTACCTGGGGTTATTCGATACGCTGATCCCGAAAATCCACTTTAGAGAGCTTGAAAACGGCGAAAACACGCGTTTTTGAATGCCCTTCCCTTTGAAGTTGGACGAGTGGAGCAAGACTGATGACGCTGAATCGTTGCAGGACCCAATGGTTATAGCATTGCGGGGGGCAGCCTCCAATGGTGGGAAGGAAGTTGCCAACTCGTCCGGGCGCGTGTAAGACTGGCTTGCGCGTGTAAGTTTGGAGCAGTTTACTCGGCAGGGAAGGCATGCTGTGCAACCGGGATTGCACTGTTTTCATACGTGGGCGATAAGGAACCTACTGCGTCAAAATCCTGCGTTGTTAAGTTTTGCCGATCCACTGCCTTTAAAGGCAGCGTCCAGGCAAGATCTATCCACCCAGATTAGCACATAGTTGTAAAGAGGGGCCCATGAGTATCCGATCTGCGTGGGTCCAATCCTTTGACGTGCCCTCTAAAAGGAGATACGGGCCTGTGATACGTATCACAAGCCGCCCCTTCGTATCACAAACCACCCCTAAGGACGAGTGCTTACGCAGGTGCGCGGTTGCATTGCAGTTGCATTGCAGTTGCACTGCACACTGCAGTGCAACTGCATCCGTACAGTTGCAGCTCCTCCCCCTGGCATGACGATGGGGACGAGCAATTCGAAACCCGTCCGCTCCTTGAAGAGAGGGTCCCCAAGAACCGGGTTTTTTGGGAGTTTTGAACAATTTGGACTTTACAACTGTAATCAGGGCCACGGAAAGGCTTCAGAATGACAGAAACATGAGAGGCAAATTTTTGCCCGGACGCTGCCTTTAAGCCACCTAGGAAGATAATTTTAGTAAAAAGTGTGCAGCAATTATTTCTGAATCAAAACTAGTATCAAAAGTACATTGCGACTATTTCTATAATCTGATAATGAGAATCACACTAACCTTGCGGAATCCTATATGTAGCCTCTTACCAGTGTCAGTCAGCCAAGTATCCCAGACTCGATTGCGAAGTTCGCCCTGTAAGTTTACAGCTGACGTGTAACAAGTACAGCATTTCAACATAAATGCAGAAAGCCTAATCATGTACATGTGTTTGTGGCACGGACACAGCGGTATTGTTCGTCAGCATGCTGAGAATCGGTATAGCATTGCTCATGCTAGTGAAGCTGCTACTATGCCTTCATCAACCAGTGGTATAAGCATAGAAGCACCACTATTCGAGTCAGTATGATCGCGAGATGAACGCGCAGCGAGAGGTCCGATAGATTTCAAGACCTCCGTGATTGCAAGCATGAGTTTATCTCCAGATTTTACGTGTTGCTACAATCAAAAGAGTGTTAGATAGCAGATAGAAAACTGATTTTAGTGTTGCGAAAATCACATCTGAAATAAATGGACACTCACCAAAACGAATTTGACAATACTACCGACACTAGTGCAGAATGTGCTCGCAGCCAAATCTGCTGCAAGAGAGGGTAGATTGCATAGCGAAAGAATCTGAAAGCAGATAATTAAGCCACTCAATAATCTCACTGAATAATATGAACCTCTTTAACACTATTCTTCTCCACAAACCCTTTCACGAGATCTGCGCCAGCCTTGTGTTATGATAGCTTCGAAAATCGGATGGCAGATAAATATGCATAGTACAGCTCATTTACAATTGCCTTGAATCACCTTGATGAAAATGAGAAGGCAGTCTCCCAAAGGTAGTAACCGTGTTTCACCCTTAGCATCGAAAAGATAATCCATTTCAAGTTCCTTTAAAATGTGTAATCGTGATCTTCGCAAAATGAAATTGATGGTTTAGAAAAAAAAGCCCACCATCTTGTCAGCTCACTGTCCTACTCCACTGCATCCATGGTCATTTCAGCCTTTTCGTCGTCGTCAGACATTTTCTCAATTTCAGACGGTGACATTGGAAGCTGAACGTGAGAAACCTGACTGATGGTTCCTCTATTCTACGGCTTCAACGAAGTCATTGTCACCATCATACGAGGACACCCATCGTGAAAGTTCTCATCGCCCATGTGGGCCCTGCAATGAAAATATATCGAGTACCTGCTACTTTTGACTAATATTATATCAAAATGGAGGAGATACATCACGTTGCGAGCAGAAAAAGGTGACAACAGATCAACCGTCAACTAACAAAAGAAAACGATAAATAGAGCTGATGGTATTTCAAAATCCGCGAATCGGGGCAAAATCGCAGTAAAATTCGGGTAAAACTAATTCGTGTCTCCCGCCGGTGCACCGGGTTTTGGTGCGATCAGCCATTTTGTGGGCGGTCCACCTGCGAATGACAACTGCGAATGTCTTCGCGAAGAGGCTAAGCAGATATGGAATACAGATCCGAAATAAGCGTTGAATACTGCTTTGGGATAGGCAGCTTGGTTTAATTCGCCACTTCGACTTCTGACCATCTTTGTATAAGCAAATCCACGACTACGCAAAAAGTACAATCACGGACCCACATTGGTGGGCCACGTTTTCAAAATTTCTAGTTATTGGCTCGCCCTTTGTTTTTTGCACAGTTCACCTACATGCTGATAGGGTACTATGACCAAAATTTCAGCTAAAGATCTTGACTACAACTCTCTTTATGAATTTCGGACAGACAGACATAAACACACACAGGTAAACAGATAGACGCTTGGCTCCTTATTATAAGTCATGATGCTATATCAATTATACACAAGACACAACTATACGTTTTATGATCTTTACATTATTACAGCCATGCCATTGTTTTAATCTACCACCCTTCTGCTAGCTTTTATTTACTAAATAGACGCTTTTTCAGAAGGTTCATATCAGATGTTCGAAAATTCATTTTAAAAACGCTGCTTCTAGGTTGGCTTAACCATAAGCATATCTCATTTCACCACCATAGCTTTGCTATCGTAACCAACAAACCTAGGCAGGAGAAACTACACTGCGCAAAAAGTATAAGTATACATAATTTTTTAGTTGAAGGCGATGGGAAGCTTGCTTTCCGGACTGCTTTTTTCCTCGATGGTAAGATTTGATACTGTTAAAAATTAGTACTGTAAGAGTCATACAATCGCAGTTATTCAACCATTCATCAAATAAAACCTATTCAAACTATTTAAAAGATGCAGACCGGCGCAGCTTACATCTGGCATTTAGCAGTAGAAATGCTCTGACAACGCAGACCTCTGATTTATAGAGGCGATTGTCACGCAGCGGCTAAAAGGTTCCTCTCTGAAAAGCAAAAACAGCCGAATGTTATCATCGTATGCAAATTGAATTTTCCTCACCCGTAAAAGTGCTTGCAAAACATAGCATGATTCATTCTTATTTTATACTAACTCCTGTGCGGCAGAAGTGTCAAGAAAGCAAATAGAGTAAGCAGTCGCCCATGTGCTTGACAAGGCTTTGCATCCTTTCCAAATCTTTCCAGGGAAGAGGAAGATGAGCTTTTTCTCAACAGTGTCTTCATACTTCACATGGGTGATTGTTGCAGTATTTTTCCGTATAAACCCTAAACGCAGCAATTTGAGTTACACGAACAAATGCCTCAAAGACTTTAAGAGAAGGTTCCGATGTAATTATGCTCGAATCTGTCGATGATGCCTGAGTTTCAACCAGAAACGGCTTCGGCGTATGGACAACAAATCTGAAGGGCTATCATTTTTTTTAGTAAAACAGCTCGAATATGGAATTTTTGTCGAGTTCGCATCTTATTACATGGCCTGCTGCTGAGAGAATTAACAGAAAATTGACCTACGCATGAACTTCAGTCTCAGGCTCCGAACAGGTTTATCACCTACTCTGGGAAACACCACGACAGCTCGCGCATTCTACTACTATTCGCACAGAAGCTAAACTAAGTTTTTAAGGCTCACTTCTCAACTTATCTCTCGATCTAGCTTTCTTCTCGGAGCTGCAAAAACCTTATGCAAAACCGAAATAAACCATACCACCCTTTTTCTCACCGAAAAGTCAAAATGACGGTCGTCTATCGTGAGCTCTGACTTTGGCACTCATTGCGGATGAGCCCGACCCCTAATTCATTCATTAGTGTGGTCGGGCATTCCCATCTGTGGGGCCAGCGAGATGACTCCTGCAGTAAAATAAGGGCCTTGTCGCTGTGTGAGTGAAGAACCGCGGCTGTTAGATTTCACTGCACTCAACCAAAACCGCCAGTCGGATGCAGTAGGGCCCCGAAGCAGTTGATCATGCCCTCAATCGTTGTTATGCACCAGTGCATCACCCATGCTTCACAGAGATTTGCACTGGCTCCATTATTCGTAGTTCCTTAATTTCGCATCATGACTGATTTGAAACTTACCGCAAAATGCTTACCATCACGATTGAATCGTACTACTCATTACTTGGGTTTAACCATGTAAGTGCGGTAACTTTGGGAAGAGCAACATTTCTGGAGAAGAGCACGTACGAATATGGATAGCTACATAAATTATTTTGGCTTGATAGGCTTGATAGGACGATAATCATCGTGGGATACATCTAAGTGGTACTCTGTTATTTAAGTAAAACCTTGGCAAGTTGGCAATATACGGGGTCATCTTTTTGGCGCATTTTTCGCGAAAAAAATAGATTTTCGATCATTTTTTGGGCTGAAATCTATGGCTCGCGATTTGTTTCCCAAACGAATTCATCTCCTTGCAAAAGATTCAAATACCCCGTTCTGAGGGCGCCAAAATCCGCGTGGATCTGTTCACCCAATTTTCAAATGAAGCTCGTATCGGACCACCTCCTGCTTAAAGGCAGTGTCCGGGCAAACTCGATTTCTAGAAAACCCACTTACCGGAGGTTATCCGCAACGTTGAATCCGAAAATCCACATCAGAAGGCGCGATAACGGGAACATACGTTTTCCAAAGCGTTACAATCTGAAATTCGACGGTCCCCGCCAGGCTGAGACGCAAACTCACTGCGGAACCCTACGATTTTGATTGTGGCGGCATGCGTACTCTGCCTCATAGCACGCACTCGAACAGGTCGGAGGGCCCCGCCCCAAGACGTAAGTTTCCCTACTTTCTGTCGTTTTTCTTGCTTTAGGTTGAGCGTTATGATCTCGCACTTGCGCGATGTTGTGTATGAGGAGGGCCACTTTCGCATGGCACTAAAATCACAAAACCCCCAACTTGCCTTTAAGCATTGTGGACCTACATGTTGGTGGCCATATGTTGTGCAGAATTCAAAATTCTATGCACCTCGCTATATGAAATTTGTGAATGACAGAGATACACACAGACCCACAAACAGACAGTAGCTTAGCGCTTTATTTTAAGTTATGACTATTTTCAGTTGGCCCGCAGACGCTTTAAACTCGCCGTGGCAAATCAGGGAGCGAATCTACTGCCCTGAGTGTTTGAGCAGGATAACTGGTCCAACGGACGCTGCACCAAGGACCATATTCCCTGTTGGGAAACTGCACGTCAGAACTCATACGTGCACTGCGACCGCTTTGCGCATGCTGCACTGTTTTGTGCAAAACTCTCAAGTTGTAAGGTGGCACGGCAAAGATTGACGCCTAGTCACCCTTTAATTCGTTCAATGGGATCGGTCGAAGGCGGGCCTTCAATTCCTATTTAAGCCTAGATATGACCAGAGAGCACGCTCGCGGGAGAGAGTGATCTTGTCAAAATCGAAGATGCGTGGAAAGGAGCCGAGGATTGGCTGACTTAAGCAGGTCGAACCCGTTCGTAATGTTCGTGGTTTCTTTTGGAAAATTGAAAGGAGCCCAAGCACTTTTCGTCTCCTATCGTGTTTTTCTTCAGGTCCTCTGTGTTTATAAATCGTCTTACAAGGAAAAACTAAACGGGCGTTTCAAAAGGAACTGCGCACTAGAGCACCGTCTTCTAGAGCATGGAAAGCTAATTTCGAACCTGTTTTCGTTATCTGCAAAGCGCTTCTGGGAGAAGAGTTGTGGAAAATTTTTGACTCAAAAGTTTCAAAGCGCAGCTGCAATAAAATCGTTCAGAACTTAGTGTTTGAGCTCGGATGGAACTACATAATTACTTGCAGGTGATACTTCAAGCTAGTCGTCACTTTATTCAAGCGCCAGAAAGACCTCAGCACTCGTTTTAAGCCTATCCGATACCTTAAATCTTTGCTCCAAAAATTCTATAAATTCTACCAGAATCCCTTTGCAGATATCGAAAGCAGATTTGGAATAAGCGTTTCATGTTCTATAGGATTGTACGTCTCATGTGGAAACTGCACTTTCATCAAGTATAGGACAGTACATTTCATGTGAAAATTGCACTTTTCATCAAGTATCCTTCTCCTGTTAGATACGATGTCTTCGTAACGTATCAACTCTAGTTGCCTTCCAATCTTCAAGCTTGGCGAATTTTTTCGTGTAAGGATTTTCGTTCTATTGAAATCGCAATCCAGTCTCCTCTTTCCGTACTTGGTTTTCCTTTAATGTCTTCTTTTATAGGCGATAGTGGTTAAAAAGATAAAGATGTCATCCGCAAAACGAATGTTTAAGAGGAATACGGCAATTAAAAAGGCTTTCACCGTTTAGTGACTTCATTACTCACCGCACCGCAGAGTTAAACAATTCTGGCTGTAGCTTGCCGCGTTGGTGGATCCGCTCTTTATTTGGTGGTGTTAGAAAGCGAGGGAGTGCTTCTACAGTGGCGCAGTTTTTTAGCAATCGGCCGATGTCCTCATATGCTGGGCCCGCTCCTCAGTCAATTTTTAGCTATGAGATACTCAAACCAAATGCAGTCGTCTGGTGTACTCGACTTGCCGTCATTAACAAGTTTGTTTTGATCATGGCGCAAAAGGATAGCAGAATGGCTCACTCGGCGGAAATCTGCTTTAACTTCTGCATGCTCGCTCGATTTTGCAGGTGTAACCACTCGCATCTGGAATGCGCATAGATCACTTAAAAAGATATCAACAATACTCGTCAGTTTAAAGACCGCCGTTGCAAATTCGTACTATATTCTACTGTTACATCCAAGTACAAAGCACGCTCTAGGCCTTGGAGAAGATTTTCAGCTAATAGGAGGGATGTCTGGTGTTATGGTGGACATCTCATGTGGAAATTTTCCTTATGATACTTGATCAGTATTGATTGCAATCTTGCGCTTTACAGATAGCGTCAACAAGAAAAAAATTGACATTAATGATTGTCATGATCAAGAAAACTAGCTATAATATAAGTGAAAGAGGCAGGCAATAGAGTGTAAGTGCAAAAATTTCAGAAAAAACCAGAGCCACCAAAAGGAGCTGATGATAAACAAAAAGCGGCTGCGTCCGATCCAAACTACCAAACCTTAACCGGACTCAGTAATGATGTCTTTACCAAGCCGTCCACGGTAAGCCTGCTACAAGTCTGTTGAAAGGGGCACAATGGAATTTGCAGTGCTCATGGAGTTACATAACTACGCAACAAGATTATTTGGATCACAAATGTTGCCTGGATTGGTGTTTAATTTCACTGTAGTCCGTGTTCGTCGTCGTTAGACACCTAGTAGGCGATTCTGGAGCCGCAAAGCAGGCCGGTTGTTGTGGAGCATGGTGCAGTCTAAGCCAATTAAAGTGAAAACTGACGGCGCTCTGTTCTACTGCAGCCGGCTTGCTCCAAATTTATAGAAACCAGGCACCTTGTGGAATGAAAACGATTATTTTTTCCTTGACAGAACTCTCCGGACAATAAGCTTGTAGAATCTAAGAATCCAATCTAAATATCAAAGCTCCCATTCTGCTTATAAATCTTGATATGAAGTTGAGCACTGATGTGTTCATCTCTTTAGCTCGACTCCAAGATTGTTGATAAACTATTACGGCTGACGTTTTGGCGTCGTCGCCTTTCTCAGAGCCATGAGGCTGTGATGTGAGTGGACCCCGTATGCGGAGTGCGCCGTTGCAAAGATACCGGAACGTCAGCAGTTGTTAAAGTTTATTAACGATCTTGGGGAAGGCTGAAAAGAGATATCAACAAAGTATATAGACTTGAAAGTGGGTGATAAAGGGGACTACTCAAATTTTAGCCAACGCCAGCAGCGGCAACGCCAGCAGCACCAGCGCCTGCGGCAAAGCAAGACTTCCAAAAACCGGCTACTCAGCAAAAAGCTGCAGCTTCTGATCCAAACTATCAGACCTTGACCGGACTTAGTAATGACATCTTCACTAAACCATCCACAGTAAGTCATTGCAAAACATTTCTTATATTGAATTGCTCTTGTTTTTTACATAAATTAGATTTCAAATTATTCAAGCCACAATGTTTGTTCCACAAGCAATGGAAAAGTGCGTAATGAGATCTTTGAGTTAATTACTTTTTCTTTGGATGCTTGTATTCGTTTCTCACCCATGGTTCAAAAGCCTTTGGCGGTACTTTAAACGTTCAACGTGTGAAATGACAACTGTTTTGGACCTCAAAAGCATTCCGAGATGAATAGGAGAAAACATACGGGCGGTATAACGAAAAGAGATTACAATTGCTTATAAAATTGGGAAAAGCTGCATACTCTACTGTACTTTGATTCCATTCAATGATTCTACTGTTTGTCAAATCGACTGCAATAGTTTCTTTGCAGTGCTACTTCCACAACCAAAATCATCTTGCTGACAGAAAAGGGCACTATTTACAAACAGAATTTTTAGCCAACACCAGCAGCACCAGCGCCAGCCGCAAAGCAGGACTTCCAAAAACCGGCTACACAACAAAAAGCTGCTGCCTCTGATCCAAATTATCAGACCCTGACCGGACTCAGCAATGACATTTTCACCACCCCATCTACAGTAAGTCTTGTTAAAGCTTTATCGAAAGACATTCACTTACTAAGTGCGACACTCTACATGGAAAGCGTGGCTATTATACCGACATATCACCGGAACACTGAAATCTGTAGTTAATTCGTTGATCGCACGGACTGGATGTCACTGTGGAGCACGCACCGCGAGGTAGAACACTTGCTCCAGTACAAATTCGCCATTGTACAAGCCGTGTTCTCGCGACAATTCATCCGCGCCGCGCATGGCCGCAGGTTTTGAGCAGTCCGTGCGGTCAACGAAGCGAAGACACTTTGCAATGCTGCAATCCCCTATTCATGCACTCCAAAATCAATTACCAGTAAAAAATTCAGCCCAAGCCTCCTGCTAAGCAAGATTTTCAAAAACCAGCCACGGAACAGAAAGTTGCTGCTTCTGATCCAAACTATCAAACTTTGACAGGACTTAGCAATGACATTTTTTCGAAGCCATCTACGGTGAGTCGCAATACCGCACGGTGACCTACCTAATTACGTATTCGATACATGAAAGGTCGAATAATACAATGCAAATGAAGTTAGCTATTATCTTTTTGAGACCGAGGCAACAAACTCAAACGAATCGGGAAGTCCACTAGAAAAATGACATTATTCATGTTTTCATGATCTAGCCCAGCCAAGATATATCAATAAAGCTTGAAACTAGGTGGCATGGAAGCAATGCTCGAATTTAGCCAACGCCAGCAGCGGCAGCGCCAGCAGCAAAGCAAGACTTCCAAAAACCGGCTACTCAGCAAAAAGCTGCAGCTTCTGATCCGAATTATCAAACCCTCACCGGACTCAGTAATGACATTTTCACCAAGCCCTCTTCGGTAAGTCAGTGGAGCAGTGTCGGCGAGTCGTGAATACAGTATTCTACCTTCCAGACACCAGCACCATCTGCTACACCTAAAGTGGAGATTCAGCCAGCTCCAGCAAGCGAAGATCCGCTGCAGCTTTCAGTAATAAAAGTAAATTTTAGTAATGTATTAGGAAAACAATTCTAAAATTGCCTCTCACTAGGAACCATCGCTACTACCGAAAGCAAAAAGCGACGATGCCAAGGTAAGAATCTTATACAGTTTGGAATCAAGAATATCTTACAAATAAACCGTATAGCAAGCATGACAAAATGCTCATAAGTCTTTTCAAGTACTTCGCAGTTGGAACAGCATACGCGATTTCAGCGTTTCAAGCTGATTTTGCTTATAAATCCTTCAAAACGAGCGCTAAAGACATCAAATCTGAACTTAGCGTCTCTAACTGACTTCGAATATTTGTCATTTTTCGAAAGACCAGACTAAGTCGATATCTTTCCTTGTTAGAAATAACTGAGATTTGTTCAGCTTTTAGCAAAACTTCTACATTCGGACAAAAACGCTTGCAAGGAATAAAAAGTTTTCAATTTTAGTTCTTTGATTTGTTGATTTTTTTGACTTTTTGTTCTTTTCAAAAGTTCCAATCTGATCTACACTCTTCTTCTTTCCCTCCACTTGACCCGAAGTTGAGCATCTTGATCTTGATTTGGCTTTTTGAATTTTTTGAATTATGACAATGGAAGCGTAATTGAATTTAGAGATTCTCAAGCCATCTGGTTTTCCTGATTTTTTCTATTTGAACCCAAATTGAGCTTCTTAAGGCTGCGTTCATACTGATTCCCATGTTCTGGAACTGCTCCCGCACAGTTCTCGCACTGTGCTGAAACTGTGCGGGAACTGTGCGGGAACAGTTCCAGAACTGTGCTGCATGCGCTGCAGCCGCCCCGCACCGTTTTGAACGGCGGGAGTTGGAGAATTTTGACCGTTCTCAACGGTTTTTCTTCCAGATTTCGCTCATTTTGGCCTTAATCCTCCACCCCGCTTCCCTTTTTGATCAGCAGCACTGCGAACTCGAAGCGGGGTTGAAGAATGAGCGCTTTTCTGCGCCGTGTATTCGGAAAGATGGGCTATCGTGCGATTGTTCATTCTGTCTCCTTGTTTTTTGCTCAAAACTACTTCATTTGTTCCAGGAAGCGGCTGCCCAGTTTCCATAGCCATCTGCCACGAATTAGGGAGTAGGAGAAATCCTGAAATTGCATGAGTTGGGACTTGTCTCTTGTTTTTCATGATTTTGAGCGTTCTTAGCCTTGTTCGTTTTTCCATGTCGTTGCTTCTCCGTTCTTTCTTCTACCCCGCTTCTCCTAGTGATGAGAAAAGCTGTGAATTTGAAGCGGGGTTGAGGATTGAACGCTGTTCTGCTCCATGTATCCGGGAATATGGGCCTTCGTGCGCTCGTCCTTCTCTCATCGCTATTTTTGTTCAGACCTACTTCATGTGTTCTAGAGACTTGTCTATTTCAATTTTAAGACGATGCGAGACTACGCAGCGACTTGTTAGTACAAATGAATAGGTCTGAACAAAAATAGCGATGAGAGAATGGACGAGCGCACGAAGGCCCATATTCCCGGATACATGGAGCAGAACAGCGTTCAATCCTCAACCCCGCTTCGAGTTCGCAGTGCTGCTGATCAAAAAGGGAAGCGGGGTGGAGGATTAAGGCCAAAATGAGCGAAATCTAAAAGAAAAACCGTTGAGAACGGTCAAAATTCTCCAACTCCCGCCGTTCAAAACGGTGCGGGGCGGCTGCAGCGCATGCAGCACAGTTCTGGAACTGTTCCCGCACAGTTCCCGCACAGTTTCAGCACAGTGCGAGAACTGTGCGGGAACAGTTCCAGAACATGGGAATCAGTATGAACGCAGCCTAAACAGCGACGCCCTGTGGTTACAGTACCCTCTCGGAAAACCTAAGTCATCCTTATGAATCCACCTTGATATGATAACTTTTGTAAGTTGACGTTAGAATTATGTTTCATGTTCCGTACTATTAAAAACGTCTGTCGGTTTTGAACAAGCGAATTTCCTAAACAGCGAATCGAGTAAGATGTGTTCAAAACTTTGAGTACCGCCGCTTTGATTACCACATGAAAAACCTGGAAGCGAAATCAGAAAATAATCTCTGATTCGAAACCTCACCATGCTATTTTCTACATCATAGAAGATTTAGCCAAAGGAAGCAGCAGCGCCAACAGGAGCAGCAGCAGCAGAGAACAAATTCCAAACACCAGATACGAAGCAGGTTGCTGCAGCATCAGATCCGAACTACCAAACTCTGCGCGGGTTGAGCAATGACGACGTGTTTCTCAAAAAGGCAGGATTTACAATTTGCAATAAAATTGCGAACTCGAGCTTTGCAGTCGTTTAACTGCAAAGCATAACTGCTACAACGCTGTAGCGTTGATCGTTACATAAATTCACACTGCAAAAACAGTCTTTCAGGATAGCGCACCGGCTCCTCCAAAAGACGAGAAAAAAGATGCCCCAGCTCCAGCACCCGCTCCAGCTTCTGCTCCTGCTCCCGCACCCGCTGCCGCTCCCAAACCAGCGGCAGCTTCAGATGATAATTACGAGAATTTGAACGGACCGGACGATATCGAGTCCCTTAAAATGCAGCTGGTAAGACAATCAGTAGAGGGAAAAACGAAAATGACATAAACTATCAAATTCAAGCCTCCTGATGCTCCAACTGATGATAACAAAGGACAACAGCTCATAACTCCTAATGTAAGCTAGATCTCATACAAATACTGCAATAAGCAAATAGCATTATTTAGGCTCAAGAAGCGGACCAAAAGAAAGCACAAACAGTTAATCATTAGTATGGTACTAACGTGCTGAAACAGATATAATCCAAAGCCGAGTCATATTTTACTCATAAAAATGAGCCGCTTTCTTGTCAACACAGAGATGGCAAACAAAAAGTGATTATACTCAATGTACAGCTAGATACACATGGTGCCTTTGATATTTTCGCACCAGAGCTGGGCTACCACTCAATCCTGAAATGTGCTGGGCAAAGGAAACAGCATAGAGTTGTACTACACACCAGTGGCGTATAAGTAACCTTCAAGGTTTTCTTTTCTTTTTCCCTTCGACTTCAAAGCAATCACAAATTCCAATTTCACTCTTTCACCAAGTAAACTCCACTATGTTCCACACATTGCTCCTATTGTGTTTTTGTGCTTTTTGTAGACGCAGAGAAGAATATCTCCGCCGGGGAGTTACATTCTGAAGCTGGATATCTGTATTTTACGCTGTTCTATCAGTATCAACTGTTTGCACGACTCTTTTACTACAAACTTATCAAACAAAAACGCATCGCCGTAGAAGTCGCCCTTATGCTTTTTGTATGATCCTCGTTCATTCCCAACGGCAGATCATCTTTATTTAAAGTCATTCTATTGAGGAGTCCCATAATTTTTTTTACCGTTCGTCCCTAAACACGAGCACTTCTCGAAAAGTAGGACACCTGCAAAGGGCACAAATACATAAGCGTACTTTTGTATGTATGAGCTATATGACAACCTGCGTGGGAGCTCAGGACGTCTGGGGGGAAAATTTGAGAATTTACTCCATTCAATATTTTCTTTATTTTTCCATGAAAAAATACGGAAAGTGATTAGTTGAATGTTTGATATGTCAAGCATATGCTATGAAAATGGGAAATTTTTATGATCTATAGTAGCGGAGACACGATTTCTTCCCGAAAAGCTCGTTTTTGTCTGTAGCCATCGGTATAGAGCTTGCTTTGCCCTAACGAATGACTAACCAAGCCACAACAATTGTAAGAAAGGCACAAAAAGGCGACGGTGGTAGCAAAAATGGTAAATAGTTATCGGACAACCTAATATTTTTATTTTTAAAGTCGATGTTGTCTCAAAAGTTGTTCTGACTATTTGACCCACTCACTCGACCTATTCAGCATGCTTCTAATAAGAACGAATGAGGTATAGCGGTAATGGGTTTTGGATGAACCACAAGTTGAAACCTGGGCTTCATCGCAGTCAGAAACATGGGATCTTGGAATTTTGTACTGAGCAACTTTGGAATTTTTTTATTGACTTCAAAAAAATGACTTTGAAGATAAGATTATTGGCCGCTCGGAATCATCGGAAGATCGCATAAAAGCTAAAAACGCACCTGATACACCAATGCGCTCCTGTAAAGCAAGTTTAGAGTAAAAGGATAGTAAAAATACTTGAGCACTTGAGGATGGACGGTGAGATCTAGATTTTATAGTTAGAGCCTCATGATATCCTATCATAATAACGCGCTAAGGCCGTCTGTTTTTTTGTGTGTGTGTCTGTGTGAAAATCTGTCTGTCACGAAAATCACAGAGGAAGCTGCAACTAAGCTATCGGGCTGCAATTTTGCATAACATACCGGGCCAGCGTGTAGGCCCACCATGCACAAAGACGAGCCGGTTCGATAAGCGGGTCCCTCAAAATTTGCGCTTCAAACGGGTCCACGCGCCTTTTGGCACGCAAAACTGGGTCGCTAATTCGACTTTTTGCAAAGTTATGATTTGTCTGACAAGTAACTCTGCGGCCATGAATTCTAGCCCAAAAAGTGCTCAAAAAGTTTGCTTTTTTGCGAAAAAAGCGCCAAAAAGTGATGAACGCGTAGATAGTCGATTTGTCAAGGTTTTATTTGAAAAAACTGAAGAGATTTTTGCACTAAAATGTAGCCCAAGGTCACTATTATCCTTATGACGGTTATCAAACTAAAATAAATTCAGTAATCCGTTCAAATTCGCGTTTGTTTCCTTGCAACCAAGTTTTTTTTTTCAAAATTACCGATCTTACATGGAGATGCTCCATGAATGAACAGCTGTTTACGATTCATTTGTGATGCTCAGCATCGCATAGTGAGTTTCAAAGCCATTCTCATGCGAACATGAGAAAGATATACGGGTAGGAAGCTAGTGCGAACCTCCGCGAAGCGGAGGTGACGCACTGGTATATACAGGATGTCCCAAAAGTATGTATGCACTGTTTGATTGTTAATATCTCTCTTCCCAAAAAGTCTTTTGCCTTGCTTCAGGTACCATTCTGTAGAGCTGGCTTCAACTTAGATTTGTGTTATAAAAAGAGTAACCCATCTCTCTTCGTTACTTTAGGATTACGACAGAAACTTCAAAGAGGCTTTTGAGCAATGAAAGGCCATATTTTGCCTCAGAAAAGAAACAAAATAGCCTGAAAACTTTTACACTAGGCCAATTAGAGTTGCTGATTCTAACTGTAAAGTTCCCAACTTATTATGATGCTTCATTGAAGAGTTATGTCAGGTAAGATGTAGCGGCCATTTTTTCAATGTTCCTAAAAAGTGCAGTCACACCGTATAGAAAGCTTTGCAATCTTATGAATAGTTGAGTATTATACTCAGCGTCCATAGAAACCCTACTACACAAGTCTTCACATTTTTTTGAAAAATTTTGAAATGGCAGCTTTTTCCACATTGACACCATATGTTTCAAGTTTCTACCGTAATCCTACAGTAATGAAGAGCGGTCAGTGGGAGACGGCCCTTCTGAACCCCACCGTCCCCTACAGTAATCTAGAACTAGGACGCGCGCGCATGCGCTGCGATGACCGCGGACGAGTGCTCCGCGAAGGGCTCGCATTTTCGAAAATCACCACCTCTTTTCGTGCGGCTCTTGCATTGTGGAATGCAAGCCAATCATGCTGACCTTCAACCAAACACAGCTACCATCCTCTGAATGTCTGGTATTCTGAGCCCTACTTCCCAGCAGGTATGTTTATGAATTATGAGACATTTTCGAAGTCTTTTCATTTACATGATTCATAAAAAACTTCTCATGAATCTCCTTCGAATTCTTTCGGGACTTTGTTTTTTCTTGCTTTTTTTTTCCAGTTAAATCCCTTGTGTGTGCGATCCTTATGACGTCGTGCATCGTCACATCATATTGCTAATGTGAGCTGCTTGATGTTATTGAGGAAAGCCCACGTAATCAAAGTTTGTGTAACAACTCTTTATAAAGGCCAATTATAACTTAAATTGGTGATCTACGCTTATTCGTTATCAGATGCGTATTTCCTTCTGACATTTCAGTGCAGCTCTGTAGCTTTCCAAAGAAATTATCATCTCCTCAAAATTCTCATTCCAGTAAAGTTTACGAACGTGCATTTGAAATTTTTACGATATAAGAAGCATGATGCGTGCAGCAAAAAGGTCGCTACCAAAATCAATCCATGTAGATCACGCTACCAAATGAAGGTGATGCATTTTATTTGATTGCGTTTTTGATATGGACGGTGTGAAAAAACTTCATACTCATCATAAAAAAAACGTATGCTTCCCTACTGGCATGCATGTAGTGCACATTTCAATTAAATGTGACTAGATGATGCTGCAAGGAGGCAGACGTAGGAGGGTAGAGCATGCAATCGAACTAAAAGAACAGTAAAATAAGTCGAAAAAGACATTGAAAATGTCTCATAGATCAAAAACATACCACCTTAGAAAGTGGCCGGCGATTCAAGTAGTGTGGAGTAGAGCGAATAACTAAGTTATTGAATTCCAGGGAATTTGGGGAATTTAGGAATTTTCTAATTACCTCTAGAATCTCATTGTGGAGTAGGTTACCAGCGATGTGAAACTCGTCCGCCTCCGCAGCGCGTCTGCCCAGGTCAGCCGCTCGCTCCCGCGAGCTAGCCAATCATGGAGTGACCTCTAATTAGCGCTGACCTCTTATAGCCGTCGCGATTGGGGCAGGTTCAGAAGGGCCTACACCCGCGGTCAGTGATTCTCTCCATACTGTAACTCTAAGTTGAAGCCAGCACTACAAAATGGTACCTAAAGCAAGGCGAAAGACTTCTTGGGAAGAGAGATATTAACGATCAAACAGTGCATACATACTTTTGGGACACCCTGTATACAGCTTTTATGGACGCTGAGTTCAATACTCAACTATTCACAAGATTGCGAAGCTTTCTAAGCGGGTAACCGCACTTTTTAGGAACATTGAAAAATGGCAGCTACTTCTTACCCGGCATAACTCTTCAATGAAGCATCGTAATAAGTTGCGAACTTTACAGTTAGAATCAGAAACTCTAAATAGCTTAGTGTAAAAGTTTTCAGGCTATTTTGTTTCTTTTCTGAGGCAAAATATGGCTTTCATGGCCCAAAACCCTCTTTGAAGTTTCTACTGTAATCCTACAGTAATGAAGAGAGATAGATGATTCGCTCTATAATGAAAATCTAAGCTGAAGCTAGCTCTACAATACGGTACCTAAAGCATGGCAAAAGACTTGTTGGGAAGAAAGATATTAACGATCAAACAGTGTATACATTTATGGACACCCTGTATATATTTCTGAAATGCGCTCCCTTCCCCAGAGGGGGTGTGCATATTTTAGTGTAACGCACCAATTGGGGATGCAGATGCGAGGAATAATGGGCAGTGCCAGTTGGGGAGGGCGGTTGGCAAGAGGCAGGAATAATGAATTTGCGACAATCAAAAAGGAACGGAATGAAAAAAATAGTAACGACCATGGTCAAGAGTCCTAGCTATTGCGCCCACGTAAAGAATGCGTGTTAAAATTGACAAATGCAATAATCAGTACGCATCACAAATCTTTCATCTACCACGGCATTCACCTTGACATTAAGGGCCGCATGCACTAACCTCCTCGCTGGGGAGGGGATCGCAGCTTAAAGGAAACCTTTATATTTCGAAACTCTAGATACCTGGACTTCATGTTGTGCACCTGTCCGTAAGTATTCCTACTACCCTTCACTATGAACATGTTGAAGAGGAGCGAGAAGCTGTACGAACCGCACTTCCTAGCTTTTGTATGATCCCTGATGATCCCAGGCGCTTTTCTTTAAAGTCATTTTTTTTCTCCGACATTAACGAAAACCTTCCAAAGTTACACTGAACATCTAACCAACAGTGCTAAGCATGTTGCTGATGAGAACAAGTGAGTTTTTGAAAAGTCGAATTTTTCGGTAAACCTCAAATCTCGACCTATGGCTCATCGAAGATTTCATGACTTCAAATCATCATTTGTTCTTATCAGCAACAAGCTTAGCACTGTCGAGTTAGATAATCTGCACAACTTTGGAGATTATTCGTTAACTTCGGAGAAAGAAAAATGACTTTAAAGAAAAGCGCCGGGGATCATCAGGGATCATACAAAAGCTGGAAAATGCGGTTCGTACAGCTTCTCGCTCCTCTTCAACATGTTCATAGTGAAGGGTAGTAGGAATACTTACGGAAGGTACACAACGTGAAATCCAGGTATATGGAGTTTCGAAATATAAAGCTTTCTTTAAGCTGCGATCCCCCCCCCCGCGGGGATGTTAGTGCATGAAAGCGGCCCTAAGATTCGTAGTAAACTATCTCGTTCAACACAACATAGAGAGACTATCGTGACAGGTCCAAAACGAGAGTCTGTAGCGAGCTATGGACAGGTCGCTGCAAAATTAGCGCGAACTCATGTCATGTCAAACTATGACGACCAACAACAGCCCACGCATCCGCCGCGACATAGGGATTAACATAATCTGTAAACAAAATGCACTCACTTGTTCTAAACAAAGCTTGTTGCTCTAAAATCATCCAGAAATGAAAGGAGTCGCTTATTGCTGCCACGATTGGACGCTTAGCAGCCGTCAATGTTGATTGCATTTGATGTGCGCGTAACTGTGTGCATGTGCGACCTAAGGGATCCGTCAGAGTTACCATGTTACCAATGTTACCCGTGTTACTATTGTTACTCGTGTTATCAGTGTTACTCGTGTTTCTCGTGTTGCTCAACACTCAGAGAGACTGCGTTCTAGAATGAGACTGTATTCGTGATCATTTCACTACTCAACAGCAATAGAAGTGGTGTGTAACAAATGAAGACGAGGCTGGGATATATATAGTTAGTACTATAGTGGTCGAATACCACTCAACAATGTCACCAAAATATCAACTGCTAAGTGGGTCTTAAGAGTGTTGGATGCACGAGGAGATACCTCAAACTTGGGTAATTAAACCTTTATTAATAAATATAAAATTCAAATAAACGATATTGCAAGCGAAATATAATACCAGTCTAATATGAGATTCTGATTATGGCAACACGTTATACCTGAACTAAAAGCAAATAAATGCCTTAAGATTGGAAGTGAATGTAAGACACAACCAAATAAAGTGAAGTAATGATAATCAAATGACACTTAAGTCAAGAACGAAAGAAGGAGGTCGCCATCTGCGGCGGCCCCTCTTACTTTTAACTTAGTTCTTAGCGCAGCTGCAGCCGTACAAAGAAAGGGCTTGCCGCGCACTCAGCTTTCAAAGACAATCAAAAATCAATCATCAAACCAGAAAATATAGGAAAAATGTATAAATTATCGGTCGAGTTTCTCGACATGGTGACACGACCAACACGAGTAACACTAATAACAAAGGTAACACTGATAACAGTGGTAACAAAGGTAACACTGTAACACGAGCAACACGAGTAACACTAGTAACACGAGTAACACTGGTAACATCGGTAAATTCTAACGGATCCCAAAGGTGGCTCAGTTAAGAGACAAAGCTTTTACAAATATACCAAATGTGTACGAATATGAGCAATATGGCAAGCTATGTTTACTTCAACGGCACCTATAGAAATAATTTACAAGCATGGTGAATAGCCTCTCGGTACGAACCTTCGGCGCAGATTTAAGAATGGACAAGCGGAACTTGCTAAGGAAGAAAAGGACATGTGCCTTTCCATATGGAAAAATTGAGAAACTCCATTCATCTGAGAGTTCAGGAATTCCAATAAAAATTCTGAAATCTCATTATCATAAAGCTTTTAAGGATGTTTAAGCTTGTTAGTCGATCACCGCTAGTACAATTGCAACAATTTCCAGAAGGATTAAAGAAATTTTTTGAATCAAACCAAAGCTTGGAGTGTTCAAGTCATGTGTAAATGGAGGAAGCCCTTTAGTCAGGCTTTGGTGACTTAGTCGTTTGAAGGCTAGATGAAACTTTATGGAACAAATTTCATATTACACATTTGGTACATCATTACACAGTATTTTTAGGAGTACAAACTCCATCTATGTCAAATTATAAAATCATCGATCTCATAGCTAGTGCTTTTCAGCTGGAAAGATTCTAAATCCATAGACTTGTAACTCATGAAAGAACTCAGACCTGTATACAGCCCTGTAGCTGTTAGGCCACGGAAAAACGTCGTAAACTTCCAAATTTTTTCAGTCATTCTCAGCATCCGAAAAATCGAGCTAATAAGTCTGCTTTTGAGTTGAAATATACCAAACCTCAAATGCTCGTAATTTCATCCATAAATCTTCGAAAGGAACTTCCATAATAGATTATGAAAATCTTTGAAAGATCAGAACCTACATTTTTACTATACAAATGCTCCCACTCCCTCTCCACCCGCACCCCTTGCAACAAAATCACAACGCAGTTCGTCATTGAATAAGCCTATTGTGATCATTCAGACTGAATTTCAACTCGTCGTTCATTATTGATTCATAGCTATTCCGTAACCGATCCCCCGAGTGCTGACACATAGACGGCATACAACGGACGTCCAGACGGGTTTTACATGAATAATTAGTAGAACTTACTCGGGGGCGCTTATTACATTCCACTGGTATTCACTCCATTCCCGACTCTGAAAGCAATGTTGATATTAGTGAGGCTAGCGCTTGGTTCACTCGTTCTTTGCAACTCTGCATTTGCTTTGATTCGATGTAGAAAATGTGAATATGACTTTGAGACAGATACGGAGAGGTAACTTTGAACATCACGACAGTATTTTTAGAAATCTTTGCAAAAATCTCAAAAAATTGCAGTTGTGGTGAAGATTGCTCAGGAACGTTATGCTTTTATTCCGAATACTATTATGTTCAACCAGAGCGTCTTTTTACAAGAAAGGTAAGTTTTGTTTTACGTACCGATTTTTGTCGGTAGCTACATAATCATCATTTTTCAATTTTTATTTTTCGAAGAGTATACGTCAAGTTTTGACTGTATCTCCCGAAAATTTATGGAATTATGCAAAAATAGTTTCGCTAGAATAATAATGTTAGTTCGAACAGACAGATTCATCAGTGATGATCAAAAAACATTGAGTGATTTTCAGATTTTACTCCGAAACAGAGCCCAAAGTTTTGTAAAAATATTGTGAGTGTAAATTGTAAGTGCAATTGATTTTTGAGCAGGTCTGAAGTGATGAACAAATCACTAAAGCGTTTCTCAAAAATTATTTTCATAAGATTGAAAATTTGCAAAGAACGTTGGTACAAATGTCTACACCGAGTAGTGAAAAAACGGGCAATATTTTTCAGGATGGCAGCTATTTACAAATAAACAAAATATACTTTACGCTTAGTGTTTCAATTTGTCAAAGTTCTCGAAGCAATTTTGAATTTTCAGAAAATTTCTCCTGTATAACAAGGTGTCATTCACTTCTGATATAGTTCATGGTAAACTTTTTTGCTAATAGCCTGATCACAAAGCACAAAATTCTGTTTAGCAAAAACAATTTGCATGCGCAAACCTTTCCATCTACTAGTCCCCGCCTGCTCTTTTCCTCTAAAAATTCCAAAAATTCAATCAATAATGATTTTGCAAAGCACGCATACCAGTTTGTCAAAGAGCATCTCTATTGTACCTTTATTTGTACCTATGGACTCTTTGACTACCACTTCTAATAATTTTCCTCCCCTATCCAGGGTTGCATAAGCGGTACAGCGCCGTCAATGGGGTGTCGAAGTAATCAGGACGGTCAGGTGTTGTGTCTGTGCGAGTAGGTGACTATTTTTGCAGCGCCCCTAATCCTATAAACCAGCAACAATTTTTCAGCACTACGTACTGTAATCGGGACGAGCATGTACTCAAGTCAACACAGCCAACACCACTGAATCTACAAGTTTGTAAACGGGAGCTGAACAATGGCCTGGAGAAGCCATCACGATGGGTAAATCCATGTGCTGGAAATTTTTGCGTTTTCAAAAGAACTCGAGTAAGCGAGCTAGTTCTGGCAGAGATTGTCTAAATTAATTCTTCGAGATTTTAGTATGCTCTGGAAAATGGAACGAAAATCTATGCACAAGCAAAGGATTGTACGACAAGTAGCGATTTTGACCTGTTTCAATCCCAACTACCGTTTCTGTTCTATCCAAACACTTGTGCAAAACTCGAATATGGTGGTCAACCCGATGAAACCTTGTGCTATGGAACAATGGTAAGTGATTAAAAGCGCTTCACTTTCTCACAATCAGAATCAATGAGAGTCGATGAGTGAAGCGAAGCACTGATCGCTCTTCATTGTTGTAGAAATTCCGAGAACTTCGAAAATGGTTTCGAATCATTGAGCCCCATCCGACTCATTTTCAGAAAAGCGACAAGTAATCCTAATTTCACAAAAACAATCAGTAATCAGTCGTTGACTCCAAATATGAAGCTCGCATTTTACCTTGTTTCGTTAATACAGGGTGTCCCAAAAGTCTTTAAGCCTAGTATTTTTTCAGCTGCAACTGTACGAAGCAACATTGACAAATGAAATTCAGAAAGAATCTTGTGAAGAACCTACAAAATAACAAGCTAACTCAGATTTCGAAAAATCTTCATTTGGCTTTCATATAAGCCCTCACACTCTTGGGGAATGCATGAACCGTGGCAAACAGCTAGTTGACGTCGAGAATGTCTCACACCTTCTGAAGCAAGTGTTCCCCCAGCAATCAAAAGGACGTTGATCTAAGAAGCGCGCCTGCGAGATTTAACAAAAGCGCCAGAATGTAGCAATCAAGTTCTTAAGAAGATCAAGAGAACAGCAATTATGGTGTACACAGATTGACTTTGAAATGATGATTCAGTAAAAATGCAGAGGTTACAGCCAGAATCAATGACTCAAACTGAATGGTGCTGGAGTTTTCAGCTTTCTCGGACTTTTGTTCCCGAGAACTTCTTTTCTTATTGGCACGACACTACTTTTTGAGTGTTCGTATCTTAATTCTACGATAAGGAACAGGACTACTGATTAGTTTTGCACTGTAAACGTAGAGTGAAGCTAGCTCTACAATATGCAGTTCAAGATTCTGCAAGAGCTTCAAAGGCAAAAGAGCTATAGATGTTTGAATACAGGGTACTTTACACTGAGTCGTCCTCGAATAGTAATGTTATTTGCTCCAAGAACAATATCTTGAGAATACAGCGCAAAAGATATGATTTTGTTGAGTAATACTAAAAACTAGACGAAGGATTCATACGCAAAATGTGATTGATAAGCGAGAAATACTAAGAAAGTTACTACGTTGGAAAGTTAGGCTCAAAGACTTTTGGGACACCCTGTATGTACACTTTACCCAGTTTCGTTTATATGTACATAGTACCAAGTGCATTTTAGGTTGGCACATAAGTCTCACATCAAAAATCTCGGAACTCATTATTTTCCCCAGCTCCAATAAAATCTTTTTCTTCAATACATATTAGATAGAGTAAATCATACACTCTTCAAAAGTTCTTGAAGCATATAGATCATCGCCATCACAATGACGCAAGCTGTTGAAGAGAAACACTCCAAAGTGGTATTTAAGCTCGCTAAAATTACTAAAATGGCTACTAAATTCAATTTTCAGTTTTGCATTTGGTTGACATGTTCCTGATGGAAAACGTGCTGATTGGACCTGCCTAAGCGGTTATATTTTTCAAGTTTTTTACTCAGCTTTTTGCTCCTGATACGAAAAATTCTTTGACTGTGTAGGATAGGATACAAGTTACAATAGTGGAAAATATGTTTTGAAAAGAGATATATGAACATCTTTAGAGTTTGTTATATATTTTTTTGCAAGTCCTAAGTACCAAAGTGATAGTAACAACCGTTTTCTTAATGTTTCTTATGAGTCTTGTAAAATAAAGTCGTCTAAGCTAGTTAAAACCCGAATTCGCCAAAAGTGCCTACCGTAATCTTACACCAATAAAGAGCGATCGATAATTTTTGTAAATCCAAAACGGGCAACTTCAAAGACTTAGTAAAAGATCTGTAAACGATTCAAGCAGTTGAAAAATTTTATTGACCAGTAGGAAACGATTACAATGAGTTAGTAGCTTGAGTTTACGCATTTTCGGTTTAGTCTTTTTTTTTTACATATTGCTTAAGCCCAAGCTGAAGAGAAACGCAAATTTTGAGCTGAGTTGAAAAAAAGCATCGCAACAACATGCGGTATTGTCAGCGGTACCGATTCTACCAACTTTTTCTTTAAGAAAAAAATTCACGCTGAAGTTATCTTCCAGTCTCCCTTTGAGAACAGTCAATTTTTTTTAATCTTTCTTGACATTCGGAAAGAACTTGTCGAAATCTTGCTGTCAAACTTCCGCGAATACTAAAAGCTTTCAAAAGTATCACTTTCACTCTCTCACTTTCATAAGTGCAAAAATTCTTTGAAAACTGGTAGAAAGGGTTTAACTTCTTTTCTGAGAACTTTTGAATTTGATCTAATTAACATAACGAAATTACGAAGTAAATGGTGACAAACTAAGAATTTTGAGCCACCTATTTCCGAGAATCTCGCTCACCGAAGAAAGCGAGAAGAGCGTGAGCACTCTGTTGCGCAAAGAGCGAGACTCCGATTTACATGGCCCTAAAACTCTTTCAAAGCATTTCCACGTAAGATCTCTCCTTTTTAAACTGTGATAATCTCTATTTTTTTCAATAATTCATTCATCCTGCATCAGGTCAACTGCACAGTGAAGTCAATAGTAGCGAAAAGTTTGTAGAATTTGAGAAGCGAATTACTGTTTAGCTCCTCTCCACCCACCCCAGAAGCTTTGCCCTATTTAGTATACTCGTTATGTTAGCAAGTCGGATAATGATTTTAGGCTGACGACAGAGAAGCCGTGTTTCCTGCAGAAAATTTGGTAGAATGTCATGCCGACTTCCTTTCTCGTCATCTACCATACATTCCAGTTATGAAGTTATGTAGAGGGCAGTATTGCGTCATTTCCGCTTCGCCTCAAGGAGATGTCTATAGGTAAGCAAATTCGAAAGGTGGGAGGGGCTTGAGGAAGGCTATAAGACGTGCAGAATGCAAACGACTTGAAGCACCGCCCACTCTCGTGTTACACCAACCGTGTCGAGACCTGCAATGAGCAATAAAAGCAGAGGGGTTCTGTAGGCGCGAAATTCAAAAACTCCTTTTTACCACATCAACCTGAAACTCCCTTGTCCTTTGATGTCTGTTTTCAGGGGTTGCATGACATTGGATCAGACGAAAAACGAGGCTCAAAATATAGTTGTAAGTTCTAAAACTATTTTTCAAATATGGTTTTCTCTTGTAAAAAATAATGGTTTTAGCCCGGTTACTATCAGTCGTACAACGGTGTAGAACAATGGGTTTGTGCCACATCAAGTTGTAATTATGATTTGCAAAAGATGGAAGAATCATGGCCGGAAGAAATGGCTCAATACAAGTCAGTTCAAACATATTTTCAAAGTTTCTTTATCGAAAATTTATTTTGGAAAATTACCAACTTCCAGAAACATCTCGAAACTTCGAATTAGTGGTCTCTTCGAAGAACTCAACACTGGAAGTAGCTCAACCACATCTTGGCTGTGTGCAGTGTCATTATTAATAGCAGGACTTCTTTTATTGATTTATTGATTCACTATTGTATCATACTGATTTACTGATTATTGTAATTTTGCCTTTCTTGTGGTCATTTCGAATTTTGCATTGTATACAAAAAATATGCGACATTTTTGGTTTTGATATATACCATAATAAAATGTTCGCAATCATGAATAGACTACTATCGGGCCGCCTTAGTGCCGCCTTAGCCCTTTTATTTGATGGGCAGAGGTCCAAGCAAATTAGATCTGCTTACGGTAGTGGGCGAGTGTGTAAACTCTGATTTTTCTCGTGAGTTTAGGAATTGACTGTGTCATTACCGGAGCGGCAGCCCATGTGATTTGTTTGAGGCTCATCCGATGTGCTCTTTCCAAACGGAGCAACTAGCAGTTCTGTGACCTCTCGATGGCCCGTAGCATCTAGATAACGCCCGAGATAATAATACCTAGTGTGCTAGCCCGCTTTGAGGCATCGTCCTCTCAAATGATGTTGGTGGGATCTTGACGCAGTGCGGACTCCTGGCTAACGCAATAGTGCAAGTCCAATCGAAAAAGGTGAATTTTGAAGCGAGAAAATCGCTTCGGACGAGATTAAGAAGGGGGTGGTTCTCCTATCCCGCTCTCATTCAGTGGGCGTTCCTCTAGTGCCGCCCATCCGAGTCCGCCTAACCAATCACCGTCCCGGAGAACTCGCCCTTCTCACGGATTCTCGACTTCATATTCGAAATTAATGAAATGTGATAGCCGCGGAAATACGCGCATCTAGCCTACAATTCATCTAGCGCGTAAAGTAATGCGATAAATCACTTACAGTTTATCTTTATGACACAAAGAGAAACAAATAAACAGCATGCCAAAATAAATACTGAACTAATATCTGCTCCATGACGAAGGCGGTCGCCCAAATAGGTTGAAAGCATGCGAGGCTGCAGCGCGCGGGCAATTGCCAACCACGGGTCGCGCGTACCTCCCGTGAGCGACCGCTGACCGAGCGTGCGCGCGACCTGTGGTTGACAATTGCCCGCGCGCTGCAGCCTCGCATGCTTTCAACCTATTTGGGCGACCGCCTTCGTCTTGGAGCAGATATTACTAAATAATTTCCTAACATGGGACAAGGTGCCCCGGTTCCGTGATACCGATGGTGCGCTTCCAAGAATACAAGTAACAGTTATGCCTCCCAAGGCTTCACCTACACAGATCCGCAGCGCTTTGGTGAGGATGACAGACGCGACAACCTCGCCGCTCCCAAGGTTCGCAAGACCTTACTACCCTAAGACCCTAAAGTCCCAAAAATGGCTCGTCCAAAGTTAATCCCAAATTCAACTTGAATTGCCCACTATGAATTCCGATACGCCGGACCACTGCTGTAAAAGTGACATCAAGGGTGGCAGCCAAACTGCCAGGCGCACAATGGAAAAAATGGGGAAAGATTATCGATCAAAAACGAAAGCAAACAGCGCTACAATAAGGTGCAGCTGCTATATATAGCCGATATGCTGGCAACGCGCCAAGGCAAAGAGAGGTCCGGAAGTGATTGCGTAAGAATGTACCGTGATTGTTGCCGGATAGCGCAGCAGCGACCAGTGCTCCCGGCTTTCTACTTCTAAGAGTTTTCATATTGCAGTCGTTGCACCAACGGCAGTAAATCGATCGATATCGTTTGCCCGCCACGATATCAGCGCTGCAGCGAGTGCAGTATGAAGCAACCCTAGTAGCGCTCGCATCGCGGAGCGGCGACAAGTACGATACTAAGTGAGAGTTCGAACCTAAGTTTCTCTTCCAGAATTGAACGAGCTGCCGCTTGCAAGAGCCGTAGTTAAAGGCACCGCCTGTCGTAGATTATCCAAATAATCTACAACCTTTAGCATTGTATATCTACCGTGTTTGTTATATTCAACATCTAATAGCTTGTCGTTGACAAACGTTCCTGTTCACTGACCACTTAAGCCGCCAGGTCACCCTCCGCTGTGCTTGATAGTCTACTTGGCGGCGCCTACTTTCATGTAGGCAATCCTTCATGCTGTATGATACTATTGTTTACCAGAAGTGAGCATTCAGGTTATCCACGCCCAAAATAGTGGCATAAAAGGGCCTGAATACTCAGTTCTGGTGTTGGTTCGATTAATACCACTATCGTCAGCGGCTGTTCCGCATATTCACTGTTGATAGTCAGCGGCTGCTCCGCTACTATCGAATAAACAGTTATACAACGTTGTGGTACCAGCTTGGTGTATACCAAACCGCCACCGAAATGGGTATTGAAATTTTAGTGCTATGTAATGACGAGATCCTAAGCGAAAAATGAATTTATAGGCGAGAAAACCGCTTTAGAAGGTAGAAGCGGCAGTAGTCACTCCCTTTAAAGTGGATGTTTTGAAGATAACAAGAAAGTTGAGCTCTAATGTACCCAGAATTGTCATAGATATGTTTTCCATTATAATCATCAAATTTGCGAAAATTCTGTCTACAATGAAGCCCAATTTCGCACATCTAGACTTTCTCTAAACCCCCGCGTTAGTGAACGGAGCCAGCGTTGCCCCTTTTACCTTTAGAGTGGTTTTCTGAATTCGGAAAATATCTTTTGCATCGAGATTTGGGCGGTTGCTTCGATTGCATGGTTAGGGGCCTCGCAATCATATAGCATTGAAATCTCGCCACCCTCATTCTGGGTGGACGGTACCTTTAAAGTCTATCGCTAATTATGCATATTATACATATTATAGACCTTGTTGTGATTTCAAACATTTGCAAGTTCTGCGAAGAAAGTTTGGTCATCAAACTTTTCACCACAAGCTAAATCAGTTTTTCGTGCACGTAAGTGTCTGTTGCATCGGCAAGCTTCTCTCAATAATAAATCAGCGTATTCTTGTGTTTGTAGGATAATTTAAGTATACGATGCTTAGAATACATAAAACTGTTTTTTTGGACGTATATCGGCGGATGCATTATGTAAATGGGAAACCTGACAGCTGCACTTTGTACGTGCTTCTAATGCACGCCGAGCACATGACATTGGCAATAGTTTTTTCTGTTTCGTGACAAATTTTTGGGCTTTGGGTTGCATTAATGCACTATCGTTTTAAAAATTTGCTAACGTACCTGTTCTCAGTGGGCAAACCGGTGCAGTTGATAAGATTTTGAGGGATAAAATTACTAATAAATTTGTTTCGTCTTTTCCCTTAAACGAAACTTTCGGTTCAGAGGTCCTATTCAAGACTTTTCAATAAGGAAAGAGAGCCTAGAAAGCCCTCCTAATAAAACTTTCAGAGTTTAGTTTTTACCTTAACGTCCCCTTTCTGCAAGCGATAGTTTGTGTTGAAACTTATGAAAAAGAGAAATCTAAATAAGCACATATTTACTGGGCTTTTGCAGAAATTTCCAGAAAATTCCGGCGTTCTACCTTTCCCACACTTCTCTTTTCCCACTTCACTGCTCCGATGAGTTAGATTTTTGAGCTTCCATCCCAGCCACCTAGTTTACGACTTCTTGAAGTTTAGCCCGTCACTCGTATATTAGTCTTATTCACAAAAACCATGACGTCGGATCTAGTGCTAATGATCCATAAATCTTGACGTTTTACGCGCACAAATAAACTTCATAGGCGAATGTTGGCACTGAATTATTTCGAATTTACTGTTATTCTTAGATCCGACATACACATCAATATTCGCAATAATATGGCGTAATATAAAGAAATGTAAAGAATATTATAAGAAAATACACCCTACTGTACAACCAAATTTTGCACAAATTTCCGAGCATGCACCCTCATGCACAAGTTCTGTATGACCGAGGTCCTGCAGACACAGCGCGGTGGCCTTGTATCGCTCAACATACGTGATGACGCGTGGAATTCTCTACATTGTAACATAACAACAGTACAAAGGGGTCGCGTCTCCTATTTTAGCATACTGTAACACTGCAAAAGCGCCTTTGTTATAAATTATAAATGGGATAGGAAGTTGTGTAGAACAATACAAAATGCTAATCTACAATCTGAATCATTGCCGTTCGTGTCGCTCCTTCGTATGCAACTTCATAATATGCAAACAGGGTACTGAGGCTGGCTTTATGATACCTACAAGACAAAGCGCTTTAGTGAAACAGCAGTAAAGTTGATCACTACCGATCAGCACAGCGTCTATTACCCAAAAATTCGAACAGTGCGTTAATTGTACGGCCCGTCAAACAGTCAAACACGAATAGTATCACATTGTACAATATTCGCAAACACAACCTAGCGCGACTAACAAAGCATGAGAATTGCATTGAAAAAAAGGTTCAACTGCAGCGGATTGCAAGAATATAGAGTAGAATGGAGCGAGTAGACAACACAAAATGCAAGAATGAAAGAAAAGGAAAGATAAAGATGTTATGCAGAGCAATATCAAAAATGTTGTCTATGAAACTGACTTTCAGTTTGCGCTGCATGTCCGCAGTCCCTTTGATAGGAGCACAGTGCCGAGAGGATGTAAGACCCGTGCGAAGGTGGAGTAGTGCCTTCATGTCTTGAGGTCGGGTTGATTGAAAGTGCAGCCTAATCTTATATATAAAGCTGAATGTCTGTTTGTCTGTCTGTCTGTATGTATGTCTGTCTGTCTATGTGTACGTATGTTCCGAATAGAAAATTCCATTTCTGAACCGATCCGGACCAAACTTGGCACACATACAATTCGGGCCCCGGCGGGTATCATAGGCTACTTTTCGTCATCGATCGATATCGATTTTATCGATTTTTTGCAAAATTTGAGCTACGGGGCTGGGAGTTGGCACAGGGGGGGGGGGTAATCGAGCATGCTGATTACGAATATAATAATGACAGGGCCGGGCGGAGCCGGGTAAGTCAACTAGTAGATTATAAACTTCATATGAGGCTGGATTAGACGCGAACTTGACAGCAAACAGATGCTGTGAGGAGGTTTGCGAAAAAGTTTACAACACACTTTCTCAGTTTAATATCCTTTGTTAAGGTTTACAGTAGTCCCATATTAGCTGCTTTGCTTATTTAAAAGTTTTGCTTATTTATCTGAAGTT